GTCAATGTTTTTCTTGTATGACACACACACCATGGCTTCCCTCATTTGTTGGAGCAGGTCGGCAGCGAGAGGAGCGTAGGTGGTTTTGCTCAAGTTTTGCTCAACTGAGTCGAGTGTAGTTTCCCGTGAAAAGGTGACCAACTGAATGAACTGCTCGCTGTAGCATCGGTGATCGAATTTTGCATTGCAAAGTTGGTCGCCCATGTTCCGCCCTGGATTCTAAGTGACAAGCTAGAGCTCGCTGCCTTGAACATAGAAAAAGACGCGGAATCATGTCAAATGTCCGGGTGCCATGAACATGGGCAGGCACCTCAAAAGGTTTGGCCGAAATCATCCAGAAAACCCTCCAGATGGAGGTGGTAAGCCTCGGGATGTCTTGGAAGAGGACTCCGCAGTGAAGTGGCAGAATTTGACACTCGAATCAGGTAAGATCTCCAGGAAGCCATGGTTTTCACCCCCAAAACGTTGGGTTTCCAGATGTTTTCCCTGAAACCAATTGGGACCCTCAGGACTCCAGAGAGAATCCATGAATCCCGGTTGGACATCGCGCTTTGGGGCAACTTCCTCGGTCCCGCGGATGGACGGTCGTGGATTGTACGAGAACCACACGGCGGATTGACGACGTGGAAGCTGTGCTGATGACCTCATCACTGCTTGGTTTGGTGATATATATTTATAAATTTGTAATCATATATGTCATATATGTATTTCTCACAGCCCGGTGGGAAATGGGGGTGGGAATGGGGTCAGGAAAATGGGTCCAGAAATGTTTTTGTTTGCCAAGGATGAATGCGGAGGGGCGGACCAATGACCCGTATTTTTACTCAACTGGTTTGAAGCCAACATAAGCCAGCCAGATTGGGTAGCACCCCGCATCCCTGCCTTGGAAATCTAGCATCCAATGACATCCTGTGCGGCAACCAGCGAATTCAATAATTCATGTTCAATCTGCAAGATCTGCAAGCTACAGCTAGATTGCATGTAGCTCAACCTCCAAATGCACGTTTAGCCTCAATACCCATTTGTGTGAAGTAAGTAAGTAGCCAAGATGGACGAACAAGAACCACATGCTGCCCTAAAAACCCTCAGGACATTGCAGGACAATGCTAGGGATGGGATGCAGATCAATATCAATCCTCAAGCGAAATCGAGGAGAGACCAACCCTCATGGCCAACATAGGCCAAGAATTACTGTGGAGATGTGATGTCTCCGTACGTTCAAGCAACTCACTCTTCCTCAAAATCGACAGCAAAATAGGTGTGGGACATTGGTCCATATCCCCAGTGCCTGCCAGGCCTTCATCTACCCCGAAGATGAGCGCTTTGAAACAGTGGAGGAGCAGGAGCCGCAAGTGAGGGAGCAGGGATGGGTTTGGAAAGCCATCATTGTATAGTTTGAGTATAAATATTTGAGGATGGCATTGGCTATAAGCTCAGAATAGAGTACCATTCAAACCTTCGGGGGAAAGGACAATGGTCTGAGGACCCTGGGTTGACTTTCTGAGCCACATTCAGTTCACAAGGAAATACAATGTGACTCATGAGGAGTGACTTATGATACTTTGTTTCACTTCATGAACCACCAGGCCACAAGTGAATATGGGTGAACCACAAATGATGATATACTGGACATGGAGATGATGACAGATCCTTGGCAGGATGGTCCACATGTAATACCATCAGTAATACCTTCATAATGCCATAGCAATGATGATACATGTAGAGAGAGAGGGGCCTTGAAACAAATCTCTTCCCCGTACGTACACACCGTATAAGTTACTATGTTAGACAACATTTGGGAATAGCGTCAATGAACGGTGTTTGTTTCCTGAAGTATTGAGCCTGTTCGCAGACTCTTGAGACCGTCCTGTCGGATGTCGAGAGTGGCGAAACGATCACCGAAGACATCCCCCTGTACTCTCGTGGATCCATTCTCCGAGTCCCAGGAGCGCTTTGTCCGTCGCTGGTGCTCCGAGCGCGCCAAGATGCCAGAGAAGAATTTGACCTTCCGGTGGTACGAGGCCGGCGGAGAGGAGAGGAGAGGATTACTCTCCCTGGAACTAACATGGAACTGGAAAACCCTTTGTTTGTGGTGGAAGATAGTCTTCCAAGGGGCCATTCTCCACTTCCATGTTAGTTCCAGGGAGTGTATACATTGACGTGACATGAATTGAACGTGGTTGAACTTTGTGTCAGCGATGCTTGCAAGCTCTACTAGATAGGTGGCCATGACAAGCGACCGTTTGGGTATACAGAATGCCCATGTGATGCCGGCAAAAAAATGGAAGTTCTTTGAACACATTGATGGCTGATAGTTCCCCCCCTTCTTTGTTTTTGGGCCGCCTCCACTTGGTGACAAAAACACCGTCTCCACCGGTGCAGCAGCTGACGCTGAGAAAAGAAAGCTGAACAGCCGACCGGGTCGTCCGGCTTTGTTCGTCCCAGGCGATGTACGTGCAGACCGTCAAGAGCATTTTTCCCAAGCAAGATCCCTCCAAGGCGCGAACCCCTCGGTTGCCGAGGGCGTGCCTCTTCCAGAGGGCGTTTTGCTGCGCAGCGACCCGACAGGGCCCTTTTTGGAAGTCCGACAGGGACTTTGGAAACGAGGACCCTGACTCTTTTTTGGGGAACAACATGAGCATGTTTGTTTTTTTCTGTAGTGGAAGCAAATCTGAGGAAGAAAGCAGACGTTGAATGTTACGAGGTTAGGTTGTTTTAGTTGGTGAGTACTGTGTATGCCAGAAAACAATTAGGAAGGACGTACTTTGGGCACAACCTTTGCCCTGTATTGTCAGCGTCACTTAAAACCATAGAAATCCAAAGGAATAGGCAGAAACTTGACCGACCTTGTATCATCTATTATGTAGATAATTAGGTGCCACCAGCACCATCCAAGGGGTGGTTTATAGACCCCCGTGAAACCTGACCATGTATTTTTCTTCCAAGAACCACTCTTTGGGGTGGTGGTGGCAGCTTCAATTGGTTTTGATCAGGTAAAGGTTGGTCAAAAGGTCCAGGAATTGAGCGAGCTTGGGTCAAAACAGAGGGCAAGGGGGCCCTCTGGTGGCCTCGGAAAGTCAAGCTTTGGCGTAGACGGAAGATTATGGAAGTAGATTTACATGGATTTTTAGTATTGTCGAGAATATTGACCTGCAGTCACCATTTGTCCAACTGCATGCATGAAACAGAAGAATTGATAATGGGCCGTTCAGAGGTGGTTCGTTCGTTCCTCGAGCTACGGTGTAGGGTCCACTTCGCTCCAAACGTTTGTGATGCCAAGCTGTTTTCAGCATTGGGTGGGAACCTCCGCTATTTGAGGAGATCATTACAGTGGTTTCAGAGGTTCGATGGCACAGATCCCATGATGTCACAGACAGATGGGGGGTCCATTTTTTTTCACCACCTGCTGGGGGTTGTGCCATCTACTCTCAATCCACCATACTTGTTACAAGGACCTCCAACCTTAGGGTTATACATACACTCCTGCGAATCAATGAGTGATGGCTGGTTTCCAGATGTTTTTCCACCTGTAAGCCTCTTCATCCATATGAATCCCAGATCTCATCGATCTCGTATCTATCTCGTATGTTGAAACGTTGACACCTCCAACCGTCAACCGTTCTCGTCTTCAACTCGACCACGGGATCCGCCGGGATCCGCAACAAATCGACGGCCTGACCCACTCGATGGCCTGACCGCGGGTGTTTTCCGGATTGGGGAAGCCCCGATCTGGAGGGGATTCGTGCGAAAAAAAAAAATATGGTGAGAATGAAGTGTGTTTGGTTTCTTATTTGTTTGTATATGCAGGTGTTCTTTCTTATTTTATATACAGTATATATAGTGGATCACATTGGTTCCGTACTTCACGTACAGTGATTTGAGTGAGAAGCCCGGCCCTTCAACTAACCGCTGCTTATTGAATATTGGGTGTTCAATTGATCAAGGAACACTCAAAAGCTCGCCAAAGATCTTACCCAGCATTAGTGCTCCTGTTCCTTCCCCTTTTTTTCTCAGGTCACCATCTAGTCACCACAGATCCATGACCGTTCGTCACCGAATGAGCGTCAGAGCGGGTCTTTTTCAACGCCAGGTCTTGGAAGATTGTGAGAAGGATGCGACCTCCTCAGCTGTTGAAGTGAGCCAATTGGGCGGCCTCAAGCCGATCAGCCGAATCCCGAACTCTTCGGGGCGCGACCATTTTGATGGTTCGGTGATGTTCTTTTCGGCCAGAAGGCTCTGATCTCTCACTTAACCCTCGTGGCTCGGAAGCCTGGCGCGCCGTGGCTCGGATCCACGGCTCCCAGGTCCTCGTGCTCGAGGAACCTGAGCATCTTTGTTGGTACCACGAGGGGCAGAGGTGCGCGGCTCCCATCGGATGCGCCGTGGTGCAGCGAAGGTTGGTTTGAGGACCGCTGTATAGGGGGGGAAATCTGCATATGTATCCCCTATAGCCCAAACGGCCCTACAGGAATGTAAGGTAGCGCTAGTCAGTCGATGACCCCTTTTTGTTTCTCGGAAGGCAGTTGAACATTCTGGAGTTTCGGGTTTTGTAGAACGTGTTACTAATGTACTCAAGATTCAAGATTGTAGGAAGGGATGTTCTCAGTCAGAACATCGCAAAGGTCAACCCTGGAGAAGATTCTTATAAGACAAATGAACTCTGGGAGACTTGTGCGATTTGCACGATCTTGGTTGAGTCGTACAGTTTGTTTCATTGTCAGCCTTTCCTGCAGGATTCCAGCACGGTATGCCTGTTGCCCTGGTTTAGTAGCTGGCTGCTTGGGACGGCGTTGGCTCAAGGTACATATTTCTGACTGAGGCAAAGCAAAGAAGATTCGCATCGAACATGAGCTGCGGGAACAAGGCATTCAGATCACCGAACAAAGGCCGCAACACTGGTGTCTGAACTCTGAGGCATCAGTTGGCCAACTGCCTCTCCGTGAACCCCAGAACGCCTGTGCCGCACGGCCGTGAAAGCAAGCGTCACAGCGGTTCCCGCCATGCCCTGGACAGAGATTCGTTTTGATGACAAACCCGACTCCGAGGACGCTCCACTCGAGTGGAGATGCGTTTGGGCGGGGAGGAGATGCGTTTGGCCTGAGCACAGGGGATCATTTGACAGCAGATGTGTGAATCTTGAAGGGTTCTCAAGCCCCATTTCTTGCGATGTCAGCTGACGTTGGCTCCTTATAGCCATGAACCATCATTGCTCTGTCAGATGTTGTGCAGTCTAGTCTAGTCTATCCACCCTGAAGAAGCATGGGCACCTGGAAAACTACTTTCCTCTTGAGATATTTCATTTGGTCAATCCTATTCCTCTGGGACATGGAGTGCTTGTTGCATCTTCAGTGGGCATGAGCGCTTCAGAGGAGCAGAAGTTCTACCTGGGCAAGCGCTCCTAGTCTGCAAACTGTTGCAGAGCCAACATGAGATCGAGCTTCGACACGGTGTGAGCACTGTAATTAAGTCAATCTTATATATATGATATGAGCGGGTTGGGTACCAAGCCATGCCATTCCCTTGAATATTGAGGGTGTTGAGTCTTGAGGCGTTAAACCGACGAAGACAAGGGAGCTGGGTGAAGACAAAGCTGATTAATTCATGATTGGCGGTTTCATTATTGGTTTGACACTTTCGAGCTGCGAGGGATTGCTCAAGGTAACTCACGTTAAGTTGAGCCAACAAAAGTCGCTCGTAGTCAATTGCCATGCTTTGAAAGAGGGCACACCAGAACGACAGCGACAACCACAAGCGTCACAAGCATCACGGAACATAACGATGAATGCATGTTCCTTTTGCATCCTTTTGCTCCACCTCTCCCCACGGCGACCGCTACCTGTACCGCCGACTGGCTACCCCATGACTACATGTACTATGCTGATGTTTAGCTCTTACCACACTGGCTACTCTTGTCCGGACACCACCAAATATACTCAGGGCTAATGACATAGGAATTTGTGGGCCACAGCGTTTAAGTATGTTTAAGTCATCAGTCAGTAGGCAAGGTTGCCAAATGTAGTACACAGCAGGATGAGAGCAGAGTATAGTTTCTTTTCCCAGAGTATCAGTCCTTTTGCATCCCGTTTACTCATTGCATCCTTCAGGACGCCTCCATTACACCGAAGTCCCACACCCCTCGGTCGCCCCACCCCTCGGTCGCCCCGCCTCGCCGGTTCCGCGCCACGGTCACCCAGGTCTGGGGAACGGCTCCTTTGGTCAAGTCTTCTTGGCCAAGAACCGCCGTGGCAAAGAGCTCGCGGTCAAAGTGGAGCCCCTCGGCCCCCGAAGGAGGAGGAGGTGAAGCCACCGGTTTCACCGGTGAACCCGAACGGGGTGGGAAACCGTTCGCCTTCGTTCCTGTGGGTCGGAGATGGTCGCGTCAGGTGTTTGCGGGGGGTCGGAGTTCAGGAGCTTCGTTTACCGCAAGGACAGTTGGTGCTTTTCAGGGGTTTGTTGTGTGTTGTGTGTGTGTGTCAAACCCTGTTTTGAAGGGAGCTTCGGCTGTATTAAATACCGTATCACGTTCGTTTAATTCAAGAAGTCCAATGCAATGGCATGGGGGGTCCTGGCGTGAGCCAACGAAGCTCCAGGTTGTTGGAAGCCATTCAATCCCTAGACTCCCTAGACCAAGCTACAAGTTGTATGGGAGTGTCATCGGCTCGCAAGTTTTGCTTGCCAAAGACATCGTGAAAACATCACTGACCCTATAGAGGTGTGCATGAAGGTGCGGAAGCCTCATAGATGCCTCAAGCCCTCAGGCAAACCCAAGCCTGAAAGGGGTATGGTCACGGTCTCGAAAATCTCCCCTAGGCTCCTGGCAAAATCATGGGGTCTAGCCACCATTGGCAACGGCAAGAACCCCACGTATTTACATCAGAAACCTGGAGCTAAAGCTTTGGCACGTGGAACTCGGCACATATCGGCACTGCTTTTGTATCAAGACAAAGGTCTTTTGGCTGAAACCAGGTTGTGACACGTGCAACCATCTTCAGAATACATGCATAGGCAAAGCCTTGCATACATATATAATCATATATAGGTTATTATGGGTTACCGTACTTGTACAATGAAGAACACGCACACGCACACACACACACACACACGTCCAAGCTCTTTCCTGAGGATGTCCTGTCGTAGCTCGTTGCTCTTCAGCGAGGCGCACCTTTTGTGCCCCGGCCGAGGTCGAACGGCGATCGGACGTCGTGGCGATCGGGCCGGTTGGGCGAATCACATGGTCGAAGCCGGGAGAGTTCCTTTTATATGTGACCGCGGTTGGAAGACATGGATCCGTTTTGTGAGAAAGAACAAAAACAACAATGCATTCAACGTCAGGTGTTGGAGGAGGTCTGGGACCCCGTTGCACTCTCTAAGCTGGCCCATGTGACACATGACACAGAGCTGATAGGCTTCACGAGGAACATGAGGGTCGTCCTTCTCGATGTAAAGCAGATACCGGCTTCAGCCACCCGATTGATCGAGATCACATGAAAATCCTCCGCCTTGGCCATAGCATGAACAGGTCCCAAGGATGTTCGATTCGTCATGGTCGATCACTCCAGGGATCCCCACAAACCACGGCTTTTCGCTTCGAAGGGGTTGGTAGACTTGGGCTCAAGCAGTTGGAATCAAAGAAGAAACGGCATCAGGGAGTTTCGCAGCATGCGACCAAGAGGTTGAAAGACCTTGGAATAAGGACCCTAGTAGGGCTGTTCAACCTCTCTGTCATAGTCAACGTCGTGTTTGCTAGTTTTTGTCGGTAGTTCAACAAACCTCCGATTATTTAGGTCTGTGAACTACTCGTAGGCTACTGGCTCGTCCAACAGCTGCATGAAGCGTAAAAAGCTGTGAACCACATAAACATCCGCAACCAAAATAGTTAAACCGCTTCAAACCCCGTTCCGGAAACAAAAGGCCTGTGGCTCACCAATAAACGCCTGTATCTTGTGTATAAACGCCGGTGGAACATCAGAAAACTAAAGACACATCCGCAGAGTCAAATATAACCCAGACGCTCCATGTTTGCCATATATGCCTACATTGGAGTGGTTTTGGGGGTCAATTGATCGGCATATATATATATATGGCAGTCCCATGGAGTGTCTGGGTAAGGCTGTGACTCCAAAAGATGTTTTGCACGCCGCAGACCAAAAAGGAAGTTCCAGGTAATTATGTCCCAGTAACCCAATGTTTGTTCACCAGATTGGTATTTCATCAAGCAGCCGTATGGGTATGGCATGGTATGGCTAGGGCTCCAAAAAAAAGGAGGGTGCCCCCATGTGGAATGACACCGACCACCGGCATTCTGAAAAGCACTGACGACTCGGTTGGCTCAGCCGAGGAAGAAGATCGCCGCGCCCGGTTTCCCGAAGGTCCACCATGTGGCGTCCGAAGGCCGGAGGAGGAGGAGGAGGAGGAGGAGAAGGATACTGAAGTGCGAATTTTTGAGCATCGCGCGTGGGCATGGACGATTGGTGTAGTTTGTTTGTTCCCTGTTACTAGTATCAAATTAGCTATGCCCGGAATTAGTAGCTCCTTGTTACGGTTTGCGGGGTGGTGGTGCCAGATCCCTCGGTTTGTTTCCCCTCCCAAATCGACCGAAGAGTGTCCATGCGCAGACTAAACCTGTTCGAACTTATATGATTTGGGATGTGACCAAACATCGAGCCGGTCGCATTCCAGTTTTCCAAAGCACCTCAACGACCAGTTTCTTCGACTCTGAAGAATCAACTAAGCAGTTTCTGGGAGCTACAATCTGGAATTTGGACAGATTGATGCTTGGACAGCGCCGATTTCTGAGAAGGCTCCTTCTTTTTAAGCAGAAGTGTTGCAGGCCAAAGCGGACAGAACGGATGTGTCCCGATGGTGTCCTCTCGATCTGGATCTGGATCAACGGTGGAGACTCCCAGTCAGCGGACAGCGCGGAACCACTCTGGATTGGATGAGTTCGGGAATGAGTTAGTTGTTTTCTCCCTTTTGAACCCAAACCACCGACCACACCAGTTTGATGCACAAACGGCTTCCTTCCCCCTATTTTAAAGGCGTTTGGCTTGATGCAACACTCCTGGTGCCCTGACCCACAGCCAAATCTTCATGTCTGGTGTCTGGTGGTTTGGCACTCAATTTATGGACAGCCCTTTTTGGGTGGACTCCTATCCATTCTATTCCATTCTATGGAAAGGCAATCTGCCTATAATCTCAGATCAAGCGCTGTTTCAAGCGCTGTTTTTTGAAGCCCTCATTTCCTTGCAAACATGACCCCTTATATATAGTGTTTCTTTTTTGAAATGTGTGCGCTTGAGCGATTATCTTGACCCAATGAAGGTCTGGAAGGAGGGTGGGGTAAACCAAATTATGGTTGGGTCTATTTTAGGTTATGGGCGTACAAAGGTGTCATTTTGGTTGGTTTTGGTCGGTCTGGGCTCCCCATTCTATAGTGAGCTGGTGTCCATCCTGTTAGCTGGGGTAATCCATTCTATAGAGCAAAAAAAGGTAGACTCCAACATTTTATTGCTATAGAATGTGGAGCCCGGACCGACCATGAGAATTTCATGACTTGGATGTGCAATCTTTTTCATGAGATCTGGGATCAGCCAGGGCGGTCCACACACCCTCAGCACCCTCACCGCAGCCTGTGATCCGTCCTGTCAGCGGCAGGTGGCTTCAATATGCTTGCAATGGACTTACTGGGCCCCTCCTTAGACGCCCTCTTTCAAAAGTGTGGACGACGATTTAGCCGCTTCACAATGCCAGGAGATCGGTTTGTGTGACCTGGGTGGCTGCCCATGAGCTCATATGAGCTCTTCAGTATGTTGGATATGTCCGTGTTTGTTTGACTTATTACAAACATGGGGTAAGATAGGCCATACACACAAGTAGTTCGCCTGGTTCCGGAATGGACAGACACCATGAGGCACCGCTTGACCTTTTTATACTAAACACCTCTAGAGTAGATGAGCCCCATCTCAGGTGCAGAAAACGTTGATTGGGATGCAGACAGTGTGCGAAGCCGTTGACAGTATCACTGGCCCTCACTCATTGTCGACCAATCTGGGCTGGCTGTTCAGTTTTGGCAGGGTCAAGCCGCTCAGTCACCAAAAACCACTGCCATATAGAGTTCCTCACTCCCTGAAATTGGGTTGGGCAACAGTTTTCTTCGAAATCGGTCCAGGTGCAATATCTTGGATGATGGGAGTCACACAGATAGCCCTGCTCCGAAAAGAGTGTGACAAGCCCTATCCACGTAAGGGATACGTTATAAGTGTTTGCAGTTGTTCAAAAGAGCGTTTTCTGTGCGCATGAGCCAAGCACTGTGTTACACTGTGTTCTTTTCGGCCAATCGTTTGAGGTCTTAAGACTCTTCTGATGCTTGCAGCTCAGATGCTCGATCGCCTCGCATATCTTCACTCGAAGGACGGGTGACCTTTTTCGCCGTTCCGCGCGAGACGTTCGCCGTTCCGCGGCGCCCGGAGTGGTTTTGGGAAGAATGGAGGCTCAAAGAGTTGGTCGTCCTTCAGACCAACATCCTTCACCCAGACGCGACCCATGGGACTGGTATATTTGCCGAGAAACGGCCAGGGGTGGTGCCAGAGGCGTCAATTGATCGGCATATATGGGCCATGGAGCGTCCTTCAGTGTTGAAACAAAACTGCGCGGCTTGCGGTCTTTGATACAGCCCATGCGAGCGGCAGTCAAGCTTGCGAGCGCCATCGGGCCGACGGCCGTAAGGATCAGGGGACGAGCCAGTTGAAGAAACAAACATGGCTCGAAAGAAACAGTCGAACTGTCCTGGATGTCCATGAATGTTGGTCGATTATCCTCTTCCAGCCGCCGACTCCATGCTGACCATGTTCTGCCTTTCCGGACCTCCCCAGGAGTATTGTCACCGGGATGTGAAGCCTGAGAATTTCCTCATTGGCCTAGGGGAAAGGTGCAATGCTGCTCGGAGCTTTCGGCAGAGTCCGCAGTGGACTCGGTGTGGAATCGGACCTTCGATGTTTTGTGTCTCTGTGTTGCGGGGGAGGGCATTGCCGCATGTTCTGCATGTTCTGCGGCCGGTCTCCAGTCATCCGAGTCATCCGATGATGGGTGTGACATTCAGTGTTTGCCAGAAACTCAATCGCCCCAAGAATCGAGGACCCGTATGCAGGGCAGGGTCCAAACCCTTCAAAGAGTCTTATTTGGGTGTTGCTTCAATCTGGACCCCTCAAAGTCGAGAAGTAGCCCACCTTGCTGGACTGGGTGATCTGGGTGTTGAGATGCTCCCACGGACGAAGGTGGGCGGTTGGTGTGAATTTTGATCATAACCTGGGTATTGACATGTAGTGTGTGTCCCATTACCTTTAACAGTCGATATATGATTATCATTGATTGTGACTAATTACTTTTGAGAAGGGCGTCTCATCATCATCATCCACTGTTGCTGGGAATGGCATACACAACATTATACAACTATATACTATATACACAATGGAATATGTGTGCATGGGGCAGGTGTTGCATCGTGCGCATGATTACCCTTTGCCTGCTTGCCCTGACGACTTTGGCCCAGGTGGTTCATTTGATCGACTTTGGCTTGAGCAAGAAGTCCGGAACCTCATTTTCTGCGTTGAAGTGAAGTCCAGCGAGCTGTCCTGGATATCCTTGAAGAAACAATAACCATGATGAGGGTTTGGTTCACCCAGGGGAGGCCATGGAGGGTTAAATATGTGTTTCACAAGCAGAGCATCCGCAGACGATCCCATGGACCGTTAGAAGTGACCATGTTCCTCTGTGGTTTCGACCATGTTACCTCAGACCAACCCAATGGTTTTTGGAGTTCCATGCGGCCCGAATAGCAGGGGAGTATGTTCTTGGAGACATGCAACCTTTTTGCAACTTGAGAGGGCTCCTTTCTGAATGATTTAGCGTGGCTGCCGGTGTGGCTTACATGATTTGAGAGGTTTCATTGTAAATTGTAAATTCAGTTGGTTTTGCCCTTGTTTGCGTTTGTTTGAGGATATATAATCTTGAGGGTCAAACCTGAAGGTAGTGAAGCATTCTAAGAGTTCTCCTGCCACATTCCAAGTGGCCCATACCGTTCCTAGTGTTTGCAGGGTCTATCCCTTTGCCAACTGGTTCAGCTGCACCCTGCGGCCTCTGGATGAAATCATCCCTCCAATCCAAAATCTTGGTTCAACACCTGCCTGAAAGCACCTGAAAGCACCTGAAAGCACCTGCCAACTGGTTCAGCACCTGTTGGAGTCTCCCATGGATTTTTGCTGTTTGTATGTGTTCAATCGATTAGCCGCTACGCCCGTAGGCGTCGAGACAAGCCGCGGGCAGAACAAAAGAGCCTCACGGGCACTACACGGTATGCCACTTGGCCCAGTGCCATGGGGGGAGAGTCCGAAGAGGAACGCCCAAAGCCAGATCTTCCAGTTTTGGCACGAAGGCTCAATCTATCTCCAAGGAATAAACCATAGACTGGTCCAAAGATCCAGAGACTGGTCAAGACCTAAATTCATCTCCCCGACTCATCCCCGACTCCCAAAGCCAATCAGGTTTTCATCCAGCAAGTTCACACCCAGTTTTGCTTTAGATGATTCACCAGCTTGCATGATTCACCAGCCATGAGAACTGTTTTGTCTCTCTCTTCTCCAGTTCCATGCTGGTGCACAAGCCATGCTCATTACGTCATTAGGTGGAGTAATGCTTGGAGGTTTCACTGAGTGCTCTATGCATCGAAGCTGGACTCCAATGACAGTGTGCAAACCTACCGCAAGCCAATCAGATGAGGACATGAGATCTTCCTACAAACGCACAACATACAGATTATACATATACTAGACATATAATTACATACAAATTAATTGTATCCATATCCATGTACATAATAGAACATTGTACTGCATGTTTTACATTGCACTATAGTCATATTCATATGTGTTTGTACACGTTTGTACACCAATGTTGTTTGGCATACATTCAGATCATGTTCCCAAGAGAAACCCACCTCTCGTCTCGTCACCACGTCCTGCCGTGATCACCTCCACGTCCTGCCCACCGAGGCGTCGACGCGGGCCCATCGGGGTGCCGATCAAGGCTATGGGGATGACTTAGAGTCGCTGGGCTACGCACCTTGGCCGAAGAAAACAATACGTAAAAGATCGCCGGAAACCCGGAGTAGTGCTCCGGTGGAGTAGTGAGGATCAGAGCTCAGCTAGGGAGATTTTTTTGGGGGGGAGCGGATGGAGAGATTGAAGATGCAGATGCCATAAAAGATTTTGTGCAAGAGTTATATAAGGGAAGTAAGAGTTGCTCCTTCCCTCTTCGTTCGGTTCGTGGGGTGAAGCACCAAAAGACCCTCCGTCGTGGAGGGCGAAAGAGGGAGCAACAGACGTCAGAATGTCTCAACATATTTTGTCAAAACAGTGTTCAAGTAATTGTAGTTGTTTATAGGTTTGTTTGTTTTTTTTGTGAGGTGACCATGATCTCGAATACTCAAGTGTGGTGGCAAGGATTTGATTTGAGCCGTATAGATCTACACAGAATTTAGATTTTCAGCACCAGCCTCCAAGAGATTGTGTTTTTCCTGTTTAGATGGCTTCCAATCGGGAGCGTGGCTAACATCCTCACCTCTACAAAAAAATACATCTTTGCTCAATTGAACATCAAGTGCTTGGTTTGACCCAGGTGTTGGCATACTTCCTTCGAGGCAAGCTGCCCTGGCAGGGCCTTGATGCCGACACAAAGGACCGCGAGATCTCGGCGCTTTCCGTCAGTGGGTGGAACGGCATGGTGACCCACATGAGACCTAAGAGGGAAAGGGTCTCACTTGTGACGCGGCCTGTGAGTAGTAGTAGTAGTAGTAGTAGTAGTAGTAGTAGTAGTAGTCGTGGTGTCGCAAATGAGTCCGCTTTGGTGTCGTAAGTGAGTCAGTTTTGGTGTCGCAAGTGAGACCCTTGCCCCTAAGAGTTTGTGCCAGAAAGTCAGAGTCTAAGGGTATTGTCCTTGCAATCGTGTGAACATGTTGCGTGGAGGCCGGAAAACCAGCCATTCAGTGGAAAAGCACCAATATCAACAACTACTCCACATTAGATATGGGCTCTGGAAGTGCAAATTTGTTCATTGTTATGGCCCGCTATACAGTAACCTCCTATGGAGGGGGCTGCTGGAACAGGGGTTAGGCAACTGTTTTCTCAGCGCAATGGTGGGTAGCATGTATAGGGGGAACCTTCAGTTCCACATCCGCTTCCACGTTCCTTCGCATGTCAATCCACCCTTCGGCGGCGCGCTGCCGGTGGCCGAGCGATCCCACCCGGAGTCTCTTTCGGACACTTCTCCTCCGGGCAGCATGGAAAATGGGCGCATTCAATGTGTTTTGAGGTTTCTACCAGCACCACCAGATGTTCAACAAAAACCGGGACCTAGGAGAAATGTAAGCAGTGGTCTCGTTTTAGCAAACCATGGCTGATTAATTGTAAACCGATAAAGAGCTTAAAATAAGATAAAACTCAAGTAATACAAGAACAGTACATGAGAATAGAAGCATTGGAAATTCAAATGCCCTCAGTTCTTGAAGCAAATAGCTGTCAAATCCAGTTATTGATTTCAGGTGCATTTTCTTTAACAAGAGTGTTTCATGTCAAGGTTTTCGTGTAATACAAGCATTCAGGAGTGATTTCTTTTTTGGCTCCTTGAGCATCGCTGGGACATGGGTAGACATTTGCTGATCCATATGGGTAAGTAGTTGCATGTACATGCATGGGTTCCAATTCAGTGGATGTTAGGCCAACAAGTCAACAGCACCCATGTAAATCATTATTGAGAATATGTTGTAGTAAGTATTTGAGTCCGTTAGGCCACCAAAATGGGTGACGCGTTGGGTGTTTCAAAACGATAACAAAAACCATAAGAATACACGAAAAAAGTCCTCGGGAAGACCTTGTCCCACATGTACAAATTCCAAATTATAAGACATGGCCTCAAAACTCTTCAAACATCAAGGAAAGCCAGTAAAACTGAAGGAGTTAGACCAGGAAAAAATATATAAGAATTAGACATTAAGAACAATAAACTAGCCCTGTCTTTGTGTCTATTCCCTTAAACGGGGAACATCACTTACGGTCGTTCACGGGGCCGTCAGAGACCAAGCTCTCAGGCCTTAACACTTCCCCGTAAAGGGAATAGACACAGAGACAGATGTTTAGAGTCTGTTTGAAGGACATGTTTGACACAATGTGTCATTGAAATCATTAAATTGTTGTACGCGCGCACACACATAACAGACACCGACTTTTTTTAGCAGTGGAGGCAGGGACATATGTAGTTAGCTGGGAAACGACAAGAGACTGTATACATCTGTATACTGATTTCCAAACATTGAAAAAACGGTAAAGAGTTTAAAAAAAAAAAAAACGATAAGGCTATATATAAGTGGTCATACAAAATGTATAGTGTTTTTTTTTGAAAAATATCACCTACTGTAGTTATTATTGGAAGGAAACATATTGAAAAATACATGGTCAGGGGGGGTCTATAAACCACCTTTTTGGGTGGTGCTGCTGGAGGTGTGTTTCCTTTTTGACCAGGCGACCCCCACAATCGCCTCTCACAGGAGGCGAAGCACGCCAAGATCGCGGAGATGAAGCACGCCACATCTGCCGAGGACGGACACACACGACTCCTCTTGGGTTTGCGCCGCGTCATCGCGCGCGTGAGCAGTGGGTGCACTGGTAAACTCCAAGTGCCATCCAGGGCCTCTCAAAAAGATCTGAAGAGGGATACTGTAGACTCTTGATTAATAAACCCCCATGTGAAGAGGATGCTCCATTTCAATTGGGTGCTTTATTAATCAAGAGTCTACGTTACTGTACACTGTACATGTTTGGCTAGGTGCTCCAAACACCAACCCCAGCTGCTCCCGATGGGTTCACAGGCTGTGGTAGACCGGTAAAGGACGCAGTTACTACTGCAGGCCGAAAATGGCCTCCTTACAAGGACTCCTTACCCGAAGCCCGAGACGAATCGGGATGCAGATTTCTGCAGAGGCCAAGGACATTTGTCAGCGATGTTGGCTGTATGAATATAAAAGTGTCTTGTTCTTTTTTGAAGCCCGTTCCCCCTCCTTACTTAATTGACTAGGCGCCTACTTAATTAAGTCAGGAACTGAGGTAGCTAGTAGCTTAAGTAGCTACTACTCAGGACGCAGGATAGCTCGCGCTTCTTCAAGGAAGCGACCTCTCCGCCGCCCTGTCCTTCAGGGCCTTGAAGAAGCGCTCGCACTAATGATTTGGATGTTTAGGGAAACTTCACTTATACTAGACCTTTCTTCATGTTATTTTTGGTATGGGGGTTCTATGAATCAACGGTCTACATTAGCTACAGGGCATGTCTCCTCACCCGTGGGGGCCTGAGCAGGCTGCCAGACCTGCCAGACCAGTGCATGATGGTCAAGCCCTGTTGGTGGCACGCAAGCATTGCCTGACAGAGAAAGAGATCGAATGTTCCGTGTTGAACTCGTCAAAGTCTTGTCATTCGAGTCTTGAACTTGTCAGATGTTTTTACTTACTTGCATCATTGAATACCATCGACATGAAGAGTCAGATATTTTATTGCATCCATCCGGTGACCGAGCCGAGAAAGATGACTGATCCTTTTGGACCCTAATAAGTGTTTGAGGGCCTTTAGGATCACCGTGTTTCCCAACTGCCAAAATCAAAGTTTTGTCGTCACGTAAAGCTATAACGAACTACAATAGTAGCCATACGTAACTGTAACATATCTATTATAATATATATATATATACTGTTGCATGCTAGATGCTAGATTAGCTGGGTTGCGAAGTGTAGCCTTTTCACAAGGCCAGCCACGCTCTAAGCCATATATGTGTTGTCTCTTTCCTTAGCTGGGTTGCGAAGCGTAGCCTTTTCACAAGGCCAGCCACGCTCTAAGCCATATATGTGTTGTCATTTTCCTTGAAAGACACTCAAATCCACACTACTGAACCCTATCGCAGCCCCCTTCAACCACACGAAATTGCTCCTTCTGACACGTCACTCCTTTTGACCCAAGGAGTCAAACTCCCGAGCCAGGAGCTGTTTGAAGGTTCACATCCGGTCTTCGTATCCTACATGCGATGTGTCAAGAACTTCAAGTTCGAGGCGCTTTGGAACGCGAAAAACGCAAGATCTGGGGCGAAAGCGCAGAGAAGCCGATGCTTTTTGTGATCGACTGATGCTTTTTGTGCTCGACTCGCAAAAGCTGGCACATGTGGCAGTGGGTCAAAACCTGCAGCTCCATTTCCCTGGTAGGTTGACCGTGTTTGATAGTTTATTCACTTGGCCCACTGTAGAGTTTTTGGGTTTGTCCATGGGACATAGAGACCTTCCAGCGAAGTTGCTGTAGCCAAACGTTGCAAGGATGTCTCCGAAAGCACCGATCATGGGCCATACTGCACAAAACTGCTAAGAAGACCCTCAGGACCTGGAGATTCATAGTCATGTTACGTTTATGTTGTTGTACCCCCCGCTGACTATACAGTATAGTGATCCCCAAATAGATTGTGGCACGGTGTCCAATACATTTTTGGTGGGGATCTACTTTTCTATCTATTTTGGGGTCTATATCATAGAAATAGAAGTCTACTGGTACCCCATAGCATATATGTTTATTCTGAATTCCATATATAGCATTATATAGCTAACTGCTGGAACCAAGAAAACACCGTGAGTGGTGGAAGAATGAGAAGGCTGGGGACTATGCAATGCATTTGTTTATGTTTCATTGATAATCTTGAGGTCATGTTTTCTTGTTAAGGTATCCTCTTCAGAAAATGTTTCTACCCATCTCAATTTGATTCGATACCCCCACTATTCATTAGCCACTCTTCCGTTCAAGCAAAAAACAAGGTGATGGAAACCACTTGTATAAGCAGGGAAGCATGAAGAGAAGGAGTTAACTTGCAATATCACACTAACAAAAGAAGTGAAGCGGCATTATTCAATAAGAGGAGTACCTAATCAAAGACGGCTGGAGCCTACTAGATGTTTTTTGTTTTTGCATTTGACCCAGCTACTTTTATTGGCGATTCCTTTGGTTGTTGGTGACAAACAATCTAAGTATGTACAAGCAAAGGAGCAAGTTCTGCACACAACTACTACTGGAACAGAAAAGCCTATTAATACTTGGATAGGAAAGGAACAATTTCCCTGTGTTAAGGTTCTCAAAGATATGCTTGGCATTATTGAAAGGCAGGGTAGAAAGAGTCAAGCATAAGATCCGAAAACCTGCTGAAGCAATGGAGAAGCCTTGTGAGACTAGTAAGAGCTTCTCAAGGGAAGAGGGTTGAGAAAGGAGCAAGAGCTAAGACAAAATTGTTATGTTTTTGTTCAAGTCTATTGTGGACAAAAAACATCGAACCACTTATTGTTGTCTCTTGCTTATTTCTTGCGCGACCGTCGCATCAGCTGAGTCTTTTGAACTTTCCGGAGGGTCCCTCCACCTATCAAAGCTTCAGGGTCTTCTGGCCCCCCTTCAGCGTCGGCAGCGTCCGAGCTCCGCAGGACATACCCAACTATCGCCAGCTCCGCAGAAGCTTTACTCAGACCTTGGCCGAGGAAGGCTTTGAGGCGCGACCAGACTCACGAACGACCTACGGTTGTCCGTGCGCCTTTTTGGGACAGGTAGACCGTTGTTCTACACCCGACAAACCTTAGCATATTATTTCTGGGGTAGTATCACCTAGGTACCTATCTAAGGTAGGCTGTTTGTTGTTGTGTTTTTGGATCTCTCCAGTCCTTCAAGGTGGCGAGAAGGGTTCAGTTTACGGCCTTTGTGTGATCATGCAGACTGAGGTTCGGTCGTCAGTAGCCACCAATCAAGCAAGCAGAGGTACCAAAGACAGGGCCGGGGGCCGGGTTGGTGGGGTTTTCAATGTGTTTTTTTCATGGTGAAGATATTTCTTCTACATCGTGGATAATGTAAACATGCACCAGCATGGACCGCCAATTGTTGATGCTCCACTTCCCCATCGTGGTGAAAAACACTGGGGTTCTGTGCACCAGAAGTTGAGATTCAACATGATTCAACGTATTCCCGGACATTGGGGTGGTGGAAAAAGGGTCTCAATGGGTGGCTTATCTACCAGTTCCATGGAGTCTTTGGGATTGATTGTCCTATAGATCCACTGATCCGCCAAAGTCTGCCAGGACGATGGCGACTTCGACTGGCTTCTCCCTCAGGAGCAGCTTGGAGGTCGAACGTTCCAAGGTCGACTTGGCAATCGAGTCGAAGACATAAGTATGATCCTGACATCCGTAGCCATTTTGGCTCAAGGTATTGGGGTGGGAGTTCACTCTTTGCCACCACCCTAAACAGGTGGCTGCGGCCAGAAACATAAGGCTTGGATCACACACCCAAAGCCACGCACAATCCATACCTTGATCCATAGGGCCATAGGGTATGGATCAAAAGGTGGGTGTGTGATCCAAGCCCTTGGATCATATGTTTTGGTTGTTGTGTGGTTGGAGGGGCCCTCCACTTTACAGAGGGCCCCATTCCCAGAGGTAATCTAAGAAAGAAAAAAGGAATGTAGAAGAAGAAGAAGAAGGTAGAAGAAGAATAAGAAAAAAACAATAGAAGAAGAAGATAAGCAAACAGGATAACGACAAAGCAGAAAGAAGACAGTAACATAAACATGAAGGAAAAGGAGCAAGATAAGCAAGCAGAACAAAATAAGAAATAAGAAGAAGGATGACAACAAAAACCATGGACATAAATGGAATCATAACAATACAGACCAAAAAACAGCAAGATAAGCAAACAGGAAAACGAAGAAAGACGCGGAAAGAAGAAGACACAGAAAGTAACAAAGAAGCAGCAAATAGAAAACGGAAAACAACCAAAAAAATAGGAAAGCATAAGCTAGATAAGCAAGCAGGAGAAAGAAGAAACAAGCAGAGGGTCGAAGAAGAAGAAGAAGAAACAAGACAAAAAACAGGAAAACAAAGAAGAAAAGAAAACCAAAGAAGAACAAGAAGAAGAAGAAGAAGGCAGAAGAAGAAGAAGAAGACAAGCAAAGGACTTCTTGGTGGCCTTGTATGGGCAAAGGGAAAACCGATTAAGCAGCCATTCACTGTCAATTTAGATAATTTGGCGGCTTCTGCTAAATCTTTCCATACCAGGGTTTTTGGCCATGCCCAGGTGGATGCGACCGATCTTGCCTCACACCCGAGATCCGACCGACGGAGGGAGTGCTGGTGACTCCAGTGGTGCAGCTGGTCACTCGAGGTCACCTTGGGGGGACCCACATCCATCCATCTACAGCCAACCGGTGGCTGGCATCCGTGTTCTTGCAACAGTCTGTTGGTGTGGCCAACTACAAGGTAAGACGGGACCTCATGGCAGACTGCGTACGGGTACTGGCTGCATGTTTGAACCTGAGACTTGTGTGTCTCATGGAAGGGCTGGTCTCCATCGGGCGAGAAGCGAATAAGCTGCTTGTGCGGACGTTCGAGCTTCCCTGCGACGAGCATCTACGGATGGTGCTGTGCCAAGTGCCCATCACTCAACCCAGCCCATCGATGGCAGATTTCGTTGCATGGTCACTACTGTATTCCTGATCCTGGTGAGCTCAACAGTTCAAGGGCTCAGGGCCTTGCACTCAGGGGGGCTACCACTTGACCATCCAGGTGGAAGCGGAGCTGTTCGCTCCTACGTCCACGAGCCAACGTTGTCCTTCACACTCCTTGCATCAGAGCACCCCTCACGCACTGTGCACTTGACCGGATGATGTTCTTCGACTTGGAACTTCACAACCCTTGCGCCGCTTGTCTCTACTCTTGCTGCTTGCTCTTGTTGCTGATCTTCTCCTCTTCTGTGCTGACCTACCTGCTACCACAGGTTCCCTGACCTACCTGCTCCCACATACCGCTTGGCACTGCTTTGCCATCTGCCTCTACGCACTTGACGAAGTGGCTCAAGGCATCCTTACCTTGCTACTTTGCAGTGGGGTATCAGCAGGTTGGCCAGGGACCACTGCAGAAGGCGGACGAAGACTAGGGGTTTTGATGTCCTTGATTGCTCTTCTTCTCCTTCACTAGTCGCTCGCCGCCTGAGTGTTGAGCACATGTTTACCTTCTGACCTTCCTTCCTTCTCACAGACAACTTCTGATGAGATATGGCTGTGAGTCAAAGCCTCCCTCACCAAACCATGGCAGTTTGACACCGACGAGAGGCTAGACCGACCTCTATTCGCGCTGCCCAGGCTTTAACCCACAGCCATGTTTCACCTCGTGCACCTCCACAGCAGACAGCTGTTGCATGCAGCTACCGCCAACCAAAGCTGTCTGATGGGGAGAAAGGGATTCTTTTTTGGTACCCCGACGGCTCTCAGTGCACAGGCACGAGACCGGCTACGGCCAATCAGCGTGGGCCAGGAAATTGCGCGGCCTTTCCGAGGACTTTGCACCAGAGTGGCTTCACAAGTCAGTGAGAATGATCCTGACATGACATGAGCATTGGAAGAAATCTGCAGAGGATTGCTTTGCGGTCGTCGGAATAGGGCATTTATATACATTGAAACACAGATTTGTTTCCGCCACTCACATGCCCTGGCCCTTCTCTTTCCACGGCGGGAATTTGTGAAAAGTTTAGCAAGTCGACCATGTGTGACGGAGGTCGAAAACGTGGAAAAAAAGCATGATGGCACCCCTTGAAGGGGAAGTTTTTGTTTGTGAGCTCGAATCCCTCAGGGGCCATTTCGCACAGCCCGTTTCTTCATGACACAGCACTTGAGTCGGCCCTTAAAGCAAGTGAATGCTGTTCAGGTCCACCAGAAGCGAACAAGATGAATTGAATATATTTGGATCATTTTTGGTTGTATTCCCTGTTCTTGACGTTGGGCCGATGCATGTTGCAACGAATTGCCACCTAAATCCAGTACGTTTGCCAGACCATCAATCTATGGGACATTTACCTACATTATTGGTCCGGCTTTAAGGCTTCAAGTAAGCGTACATATATTAGATTTATACATGTATAATTTATATAAATACAATATAAGCATATATTTTTTCACAAGTCCCATGAAGTGTTGTGTTTGTCACCCTGCACTTGCACGACTCGACGACCACGGGTGTGCGTTGCCAATGTTGCCTGCAACGTAGAATGCTCAGCATTTTTTGACGCAAGTCTCCAGGCCCGGAGGGCAGCCTCCGGAGGCTGTTGCTATTGTAAAAACATTGCCGTGCTGAAGAAACACTGCGGTGACAAATGTGAAGAACATTGAGATATTTCTCAAGTGAAGGTAATTGGGTCTAAAGAGCCCAAAGACTCCCAAGATGGGCAGAACTTTTATGCTTTCCAGTTTCCCACTGAAACCGTGGACCAATGTGACATGTTTACACATGTATTCTACGGCGCTTAACACTTTGACGGTGAAGGGAAAATGAATTCGACATGTACCCCGCTTGTATCGGTCAGCCTCGGCTCGCTTTTGACCCGAGGCCGCGTTCTGAGATCTCGGTCTGTTCTCCTGAGCCGGAAGAGTTAGGTGGGCCAAACCACCATGGGTCGCCCGGCCTTCGGTGGATGTTTGATTTCCTCGTTCTTAGAGAGGAGGGAAGTTATAACAAGAACCGTGTTCATCCTCCGGGGTATAATTGAAAGGCAGATTTCCAGTGAGAACATGAGTGTTTGAAATGAACCCATGACATTTGGCGGTACTTTTCATGTTTGCTTATTAGCCAGCCCCCCAAAGAAACCGCCGCTCACTTTCCAGAGCCGGCCGTTTCAGAACGATTACGGCCGGAGGGGGGAGGCAAGGGGTGAATCCCTTTTGTCCTTGAGTGATCCTGTTCACAAAGCAGCTTGCTTTGGTTCCTTCATGATTATGGGCTATGGGTACAAAACCGGGGGACCGAACAGAATAGACTACTGGAGAGCCATATCTCTTCATCGCTGCTCAGTGGAGACGCCTAGTGGAGAGTCAGCTTGACTTCCAAAGACAGTTGGATGGTCGAAGAAGGAGGTGCTGGAACGACACCACCATTCTTGGTGAAACAAACACGAAAGAATACACGAGATGGACCATAGATCACCTAATCTCCTGTAATTACTATAGGAATTGTGGTTGACTTTGAAGTTGCGCCAGTATGTTTCTTTATATATTTTATTTTGTAGAATACTATTATACTGTTGATCACGCACATTACATACCTGACCTGGCCCTTTATTTCACATCCCGAATCCCGACCAATGAAAGGTGGTACTGAATTGGGTTATCTAGTAATCTAGCAAGTTCTATGAGGGACGGTCAAAGGACCAGAGATGGACAGTAGATCCAAACCCAGGTGTTTGATGGTTTTAGATGGTTTTAGCATGATACACCGACCAAAAATCAGAAACATGTCGTGTACAAAACCCAAATTTCCAGCGTATCAAAAAAGCATCAACTCCTTATCTCCTGGAACATTTGACCCCGGCTCATACTTACTACACAGCCCCTTTCGATATATACTTCCGGATGGTGGATGGTACTGGGGGTCGGATGGGCCGAAGCTGGCCCAAACTCTGCGAAATCGATTCTATATAATGACTCTTTATTGAGACTTCAACCCCTCCAGACATGGATTGTACAAGTTCGTCATATGAAATATCATCATCGTCGTCGTCGTCTTCCTCCTCCTCCTCCTCATCATCATCATCCACGCTTCATTGCATCACCACATGGTTCCTTGGTGGATGGTCATATGAGTCTACATAACATCCACCATCATCCACCCATCGTTTCCTTGAGCTCTTTGCAGGTCATGCCGAACCCGCCCATCGAAGCCCTCCAGCGAAACGCGGGTCGCGTTGATCGGCAGGACCTCCAATCAAGCGTTGCCGACCGAGGAGCAAGGAGCCTAAGAGCCTAGGGAATCAACAGAGAAGGGCCTACCAGACATCAAACACCTATCAAACGACCTCTTTGGGTGGGTGTGGAAGTAGGCCAGGGTCTTACAAGGCCAGGTTTACTAAGGCAAATATATTTGACCAGGTTTAATACCAGGTTTTCCAGTGGGTATTTGCCAGGCTTTTTGGTGGGACGTAGGTCCACATCGGTCCATATAGGTGTATATATCTATATAGGTGAGGCAGTGTTTGACGGAAGCCAACCAAAGCATACAATCGTGCCACTGTAGCTTGGTCACAATGTAAAGCCTCCCCTCTCACACCAAAAAACTTGGAACAATGGAACATAGATTTGAGAGGCATTGGCTTGGGTTTCACTCCATGTCAGAGCAAGTGCCAGGTAGTGGGGTTCCCAGCAATGAGGGTTGACCCAGGGAGCCCTTTGAAGCCTGGAGCCAGGCAAGCAACTTAGGTGTAA